TCAGATTTTGCAGTGTAGCAAAACAAACATTTAATAACGTGATATAATGCAACATAATGCCTCATTCTGACTAGCAGCGACTATATAGCGGCCTGTCGCTCTGGGTGGTGTCGTGCTGCAATCGCAGGGGTGTGTAGGTATATACAGCACGAATACAACCGTTCTCTGAGCGAGCTGAGACAGGGTCACGTGAGCTCTGCTGGTGCTCCTATTGGCTGTCACTCAAGTAAGTTGCTCTTTATTTGCATAAAGTTGATGGATTCTAACGTTGACGCGTTGCTCGACACGCCCCTGGTCACCAGCAGTCCTCGTGTAGATGGAGGTCGCTGAAAGTCACTCACACTTTGTTGAAATGAATGGTCACTAGTCACTTTGCCACTGCAAGTCACTTGTAGTTTGAATAAGGCTTAACATACCATAAAACCTATAGATAGATTATTATTACATAAACATGTACTGTATTGCTGCTGTAGCTACTTCATGTGCATCTTTAATGTATTACATCATTGGCTTTGCATCAAGATTCTGTCATATCAGCCTCAGTTTTGAGATCTACATTGCAGAAATGCTTTTCTTAGAGTTTTTGTCTTGTTTCTACATTTTCTAGACAAGCATTCAGTCATTTTCTCCGGCTTAGTTTCCATTTTAGAGATGACCACAGCATAATGAACTGCCAACTATTCCAGCATATACTTTTTACGCAGCAGATGCCTATCTAGCTGCTGGGAAACACCCATACACACTCATTCACAAACACACACACTCATACACTACAGCCAGATAAGTCAATCAGTTCCCCTATAGCGCATGTGTTTGGACTGTGGGGGAAACCGGAGCACCCGGAGGAAACCCACGCCAACACGGGGAGAACATGCAAACTCCACACACAAACACCAACTGACCTAGATGGGACTTAAACTAGCGACCTTCTTGCTTTAAGTCGATGGTGCTAACCACTGAGCCACCGTGCCGCCCCTTCTAGACAAGCAAAGATTCTTGAATCAAGAAGCATTTTCTGGATAAGTGAAAAATATTTTGTTTGCAGAAATAATGAGTCACTATTGGCAGATTATTTAACTTGTTTGACAGAAAACGTGCTTAATTTTGACTCAACGTTACTTAAAACAAAGCAATATTTTTGGTTGTCTAGAAAAAGCTTCTTGATTTCATAATTTCTAGGTGTTTGGACTAGAAACAAGAGAAAAACTCTGAGTGAGAAGCACATTTTTTGCAGTGCGCAGCCTCTAAAGGACTGGCTGGTCATTTTGCATGTTACGCAAGTCTTCTTCTGTGTAAGTTGCTGGCTGAAAAGTGAGCCTGATAGTCAGACTAAAGCTTGTGAAATGCTGAATCACGGGGTAAAGCTGGATCTCTGTCCTCCTCTGGGATCGATGTTACAATGCCTCTGAAGGGTCGCTCTTCACACTGCAGAGATTGACCCAGAGCGTTTGGAAACACTGTATACAATAACGTCCTTCATAGCTGTTGTAATACGTCAGCACTGCAGAACAAACGGGATCTGAGTGGAGATCAGGAATGTCCTCATATTTATAAATGTTACATTTGAGGGGGCAGTAATGTAGCGCTGAGGTCAGGAGGTCGTGACCTCAGGTGACACTAGTTATCCATCCACCTATTTTGACGTTGAATCTGTGAAAGCATATGACAAACGGCAGCGGCTGTTGACCCTTAGCTGGTTGCATGGACAATGTGTAGTGCACTTGGGCAAGAAACAGGAGCTGGTGGAGGCTGAATTTCTCTTATAGTGTTTCTGCAGAAATATCCACAAGATGCAGAGTGCTTCATCGGAAACAGCTTTCCAAATCCATGCACTTGGCCTGAAGAGCAGCAACTTCACTCTGTAGGGCCGTCACATTCAGTTTAACTGTCTGTATCCACTCGGACGTTGTATTTTCCTGATTAGTTAGCCTCTGTTTGTGTTCTCACTAGTCTGAAGTTGTTAGCGAGTTGTGCACTTTCCGCAGGAATGATTTTTATTTTCGCAACTCAGCTGCATGCGTGTCTAACTTTTAGAGAATTTCGGTTTCTAAAGTCTTGAACGCTGCCATTATTGTAGCGGCTTTAATCATGATTGTTTCGTCTTTGGCTGAGTCAGCGGACCCATTTGAGCTCGCCAAATCATTCTTTGTCTGACGCGGGGCTTTCGACATCAAGGCGCAAGGTTCAGAAATAGTCCAAGGAACAATTTAGCAGCTGCGACAATAAACTTGGAGTATGTTGTAACTATGTGTTTAGTAAATTTAGAAATTAGTTCGCAAAGCTTGTGACTTTGCGACTTCATATGGCGGACGCTAAACCAGAAGTTCCTCCATCCACCTATTTTAATGTGCATGTAGGAATGTTGCATGAAAGTATTTTTGAAGGAAATGCCAAGATGTGCATAAAGGGAAATGGAAAATGTGTGTTTGACAAGTTCACTATTTAAAGTCAACTTAACACTTTAATAGGAATAGATTCAACTCAACAGGTTTTTAAGGTAAATTGTTGACCTTTTAGAAATAAAGTGAACTAAATGCTTTTAAAGCAACAGATTTGCTGATTTTTATGAAATAAATTACATAATTTAATAAATTACTTTTTAGGCAACTAATCGCTTTTAAAGCAACAGGTTTACTCACTTATTTAAGTCAGCTAATCGCTTTTAAAGCAACAGGTTTACTCACTTATTTAAGTCAGCTAATCGCTTTTAAAGCAACAGGTTTACTCACTTATTTAAGTCAGCTAATCGCTTTTAAAGCAACAGGTTTACTCACTTATTTAAGTCAGCTAATCGCTTTTAAAGCAACAGGTTTACTCACTTATTTAAGTCAGCTAATCGCTTTTAAAGCAACAGGTTTACTCACTTATTTAAGTCAGCTAATCGCTTTTAAAGCAACAGGTTTACTCACTTATTTAAGTCAGCTAATCGCTTTTAAAGCAACAGGTTTACTCACTTATTTAAGTCAGCTAATCGCTTTTAAATCAACAGGTTTACTCACTTATTTAAGTCAGCTAATCGCTTTTAAAGCAACAGGTTTACTCACTTATTTAAGTCAGCTAATCGCTTTTAAAGCAACAGGTTTACTCACTTATTTAAGTCAGCTAATCGCTTTTAAAGCAACAGGTTTACTCACTTATTTAAGTCAGCTAATCGCTTTTAAAGCAACAGGTTTACTCACTTATTTAAGTCAGCTAATCGCTTTTAAAGCAACAGGTTTACTCACTTATTTAAGTCAGCTAATCGCTTTTAAATCAACAGGTTTACTCACTTATTTAAGTCAGTTAATCGCTTTTAAAGCAACAGGTTTACTCACTTATTTAAGTCAGCTAATCACTTTTAAATCAACAGGGTTACTCAATTATTTAAGTCAGCTAATCGCTTTTAAAGCAACAGGTTTACTCACTGATTTAAGTCAACTACTCGCTTTTAAATCAACAGGTTTACTCAATTTATTTAAGTCAACTAATCGCTTTTAAAGCAACAGGTTTACTCACTTATTTAAGTCAACTAATCGCTTTTAAAGCAACAGGTTTACTCACTTATTTAAGTCAACTAATCGCTTTTAAATCAACAGGTTTACTCAATTTATTTAAGTCAACTACTCGCTTTTAAATCAACAGGTTTACTCACTGATTTAAGTCAACTAATCGATTTTAAAGCAACAGGTTTACTCACTTATATAAGTCAACTACTCGCTTTTAAATCAACAGGTTTACTCACTGATTTAAGTCAACTACTCGATTTTAAATCAACAGGTTTACTCACTTATTTAAGTCAACTACTCGATTTTAAAGCAACAGGTTTACTCACTTATTTAAGTCAACTAATCGCTTTTAAAGCAACAGGTTTACTCACTTATTTAAGTCAACTAATCGCTTTTAAATCAACAGGTTTACTCAATTTATTTAAGTCAACTACTCGCTTTTAAATCAACAGGTTTACTCACTGATTTAAGTCAACTAATCGATTTTAAAGCAACAGGTTTACTCACTTATATAAGTCAACTACTCGCTTTTAAATCAACAGGTTTACTCACTGATTTAAGTCAACTACTCGATTTTAAATCAACAGGTTTACTCACTGATTTAAGTCAACTACTCGATTTTAAATCAACAGGTTTACTCACTTATTTAAGTCAACTAATCGCTTTTAAATCAACAGGTTTACTCACTTATTTAAGTCAGCTAATCGCTTTTAAAGCAACAGGTTTACTCACTTATTTAAGTCAACTAATCGCTTTTAAATCAACAGGTTTACTCAATTTATTTAAGTCAACTACTCGCTTTTAAATCAACAGGTTTACTCACTGATTTAAGTCAACTAATCGATTTTAAAGCAACAGGTTTACTCACTGATTTAAGTCAACTACTCTCTTTTAAATCAACAGGTTTACTCACTGATTTAAGTCAACTACTCGATTTTAAATCAACAGGTTTACTCACTGATTTAAGTCAACTAATCGATTTTAAAGCAACAGGTTTACTCACTTATTTAAGTCAACTAATCGATTTTAAAGCAACAGGTTTACTCACTTATTTAAGTCAACTACTCGCTTTTAAATCAACAGGTTTACTCACTGATTTAAGTCAACTAATCGCTTTTAAATCAACAGGTTTACTCACTGATTTAAGTCAACTACTCGCTTTTAAATCAACAGGTTTACTCACTGATTTAAGTCAACAAATTACTTTTAAATGGACAGGTTTACTTATTCAAGGCAACTAATCGCTTTTAAATCAACGAGTTTACACACTTTTTAAAGCCAGCTAAGCATGTTTTACAGTGTATTCGTTCTCAGAGAACAGTACAAAATACACAAATTGGAAGTTCATGACCTCTTTATCTTGTAAAACGTACTCCATCCAGAAAGTCATTTTTCACAGTGAATGAGTTCAACGCTGACAGACAGGATTTAAAGAGTTTGACCAGGCCTCTAAACCGAATCCACACATGTTCATGATGAATTCTCATACAGTGGTGTGTGTGTGTGTGTTTTCAGGAGATCACGCTGACAGAAGGCAGTAAAGTGTTCGCCACATGGAAGAACCCTCCTCCTCCAGTGTACATGGAGTTTTTCTTCTTCAACGTCACCAATCCTGAAGCTTTCCTTAAAGGAGAAGCTAAAGCTCGTCTGTCTGAGATGGGGCCGTACACTTACAGGTACGTAACACACACTGACCATCTGATGATTGGGTTTACATGAAAAAACTGAGACAACAATAGCTGTGTTTCCATTCAAATATGTGCATAAGATTTACGTAAAGAAGATTAATATTGCATAAAATATGTGTAAATAATGCAGCGTTTCCATCCAATGAGAAACTAAAGGGAACAAAATCATTGAATTTTGGTCACCATGTCACAACCTAAATCTAACCTAATATAAACGTGTTATGACGTTGTTGGCCTGCTGGGCATTAACTTCATACCCTAAATGCACTACAGAATGTTACGTGTACACACACACATCAGCTTTTTACAGCATAATACTCACCACTCACCACTCTTGAGTACTTTTATAAGGGCTACTTTTTACTCATACATTAAGTAATATTTACAAAAGATACTTTCACTCTACTTGCACTACATTTTTGGTCGTGTTTTGTCAGAATAGTACCAAACGTGAAGCAGAAATCTTCCATCAGGCTTGTGAAATGGTGTTTTTTTGTGCTGAGTCACTGGGTAAAGCTCTGTGATCTCTGTCCTCCTCTAAGGTCGATGTCTCAACACACATAAAGCATTTTATTGATTTAGCCTGTTTTTTTTCCATTAAGGTCTCTTTGAGAAAAAGAAAATCTCTTCTAGGGAGTCCTGCATGGTCAGGATGGCCAAATAAAAAGCATTAAACTAAACAAATAATGGAAAATTAAGGCAAGGCAAGTTTATTTATATAGCACATTTCATACACAGTGGCAATTCAAAGTGCTTTACATAAACAAGAATAAAAAAGACAAGAAAATAAAAACAAAGAAACAATAAAATTATTAAAAACAGATTAAAATGTGTTAAAATACGTTATAAAGGAATAAAAAAGAAATAAAGAGACATAATAGTGTGATCTGTCAGATGCAGCACAGTGCTCATTCAGTAAAGGCACAGCTAAACAGATGTGTGTTCAGTCTTGGTTTGAATGAGCCTAATGTTGGAGCACGTCTGATCATTTCTGGAAGCTGATTCCAGCAGCAGGGGGCGCTGTTAGTGGCTGAAAGCTGATTCACCCTGCCCTGACTGAACTCTTGGAATTTCTAGTTTATATGATCCTAAAGACCTGAGTTATCTGTTGGGTTTGTATTCAGTGAGCATATCTGTAATGTATTGAGCTCTTAGGCCATTTAGTGATTTATAGACCAGTAATAATACTTTAAACTCTATTCTGAAATTTAATAGGCTATTGTTTAAGTCATTGCTTAATAGGCAATGACTTTGATATTATCAGTAAGTTGGCTATGCAATGACTGACTTTACAAACCTACAGTAGTATTTCTTTTGTCATAACTAAAATGTTAATGTCTAAAGGTATAATGTCGCTGAAGCCTAAGGAAATGCATCTTTAAACTATAGTCTAACAGCAAACTTGAACATTTCCAATATTTTATTGTTTATCTAAAGCAAAACATTAAATAATCAAGATAATAATAATGCTAAAAATAAATTAAAAATGTCACGTTTTATTTATTTATTTATTTATTTATTTATTTATTTATTTATTTATTTATTTATTTATTTATTTATGTATTTAACAATTTAACTGGCATTTTCACAGCTTAATATTAAATTAACATTTAATATAAAACATTTTATCCATTACCTGATCCTGAAATGTATTATATTTATATTATTATTTCTTCTAAAGTTAAACATTAAAAAATATTTAATTCATTTTCCATCAGCTTAGTGTCTATTTCAGAGATCGCCACAGCGGAATGAACCGCCAACTATTCCAGCATATTCGCCACAGCGGAATGAACCGCCAACTATTCCAGCATATGTTTTATGTAGCGGATGCCCTTCCAGCTGCTGGGAAACACCCATACATATTCATTCACATGCACAAACACACACACACACCCTCATACACTGCGACTAATTTAGTTAATCAGCTCCCCTATAGCGCATGTGTTTGGACTGTGGGGGAAACCGGAGCACCCAGAGAAAACCCACGCCAACATGGGGAAAACATGCAAACTCCACACAGAAATGACAACTGACCCAGCCGAGACTCGAACCAGCAACCTTCTTGTTGTGTGGCCACAGTGCTAAGCATTGAGCCACTGTGCCACCAATTAAAATACAACAGGTAAAAATAACAAACAATGGGAATTTGCATGTTCTCCCTGTGTTGGTGTGGGTTTCCTCCGGGTGGTCCCGTTTTCCCCCACAGTCTAAACACATGCGCTATAGGGGAATTGAATAAGCTAAATTGGCCTTAGTGTGTAAGTGTGTGTGAATGCAGGAGTTTTAGGGTGTTTTCCAGTGTTGGGTTGAGGCTGGAAGGGCATCCACTGCATTAAACATACCACATATAATGAATAAGTTGGCGGTTCATTCTGCTGTGGTAACCCCTGATTAATAAAGAGACAAAGCTGAAAAGAATGAATGAAATAAGCATTTAAATTGTGTTAAAACAGGGTGAAGATGAATGAAAACGGCTGAGAAAGGCATAATGAAGCAGCATCAGCCATCAAGTGTCCAGTTGTCCAGCTCTTCTTGAATTATTGAAGAGTAGAGCAGGACATGCATTAAAGCGAGCGGATGTGTGTTTGTCTTACGCACGAGTCTCCTGTAAGCGTCTTAAAGACTCTCCGGCCGCAGCCTGAGGAATTATGCTCAGATTGACAACGCACACTTCAGCAGACACACACACTGAGCACGTGCAGGATTCACATGCACAAAAATACATGGAGAAGTCAGAATTATTAGCCCCCCTGAATTATTAGCCCCGCTTTATGTTTTTTTCCCCGATTTCTGTTTAACAGAGAGTTTTTTTCCACACATTTCTAATCATAATAAATCTAATAACTGATTTCTTTTCTCTCTACTATGATGACAGTAAATAATATTAGACTAGATAATCTTCAAAACACTAGTATTCAGCTTAAAGTGACATGTAAAGGCTTCACTAGGGTAATTAGGGTAAAGTTATGGTAATTAGGCAAGTCATTGTATAACAGTGGTTTGTTCTGGAGACAATCCAACACTAATATTGCTGAAGGGGGCTAATAATATTGACCTTATAATGGGGTTTAAAACAATTTAAAACTACTTTTATTCTGGCAGAAATAAAGCAAATAAGACTTTCTCTTTTGCATTACAAATCATAAATGTAAATGGCCAGTTCACCCAAAAATGACAATATACTCATTAATTACTTTTCCTCAAATTGATCCAAACCCTTGTTCTGTTAAACCCAAAAGAAGATATTTTGAAGAATGCTGGAAACTGGTAACCATTGATTTCTGTATTAGAAAAAATGAGTCAATGGAAGCCAATGGTTACAGGTTTCCAACATTCTTTAAAATATCTTCCTAAACAGTTTCAGGCAAAGTAAATGATCACAGAGTTTTCGATTTTGGACAAACTGTCCCTTTAAATACTTTTAAAAAACAGTTCACCGTCAAAGTTGAAAATTTACTCGCTATTTACTCTTTTACAAACCTTTATGAGCTTCTTCTGTTGAACATAAATAAAATAGTAGAAACAACAAATGAAGGTTAATGCTTCCAGGTTTCTAACATTCTTCAAAATGTCTTTGTTTGTGTTTAGCTGAATGATTTTGCTTTTTTTAGATGAACTGTGCCTTTAATGGAAACACCTATAATTAGTGTTATTTTGTGCATAAATTTTGAAAACAACTGGGAATTAACTTCATATTTAAAGGTATTTTTTAAAAGAGACCTGCCACTATTATCCTCCATAGTAAGTTTCCATCTATCTATTTTTATGCATTGAAAATGTACATTAAAAAGGTGCATGCATTTTAAAAATACACATTATTGAATATTTTTATCCAATTAAAAAAATATGTGCATAAACAACAATTGAAACATATTCACTAAATAAAATCCAGCATGCACATTAAAAAAGGTTTTAACTGATCACGTGATGATAGAAATGTGCCATGTTTTATTGACTTGTGTTACATTTTGCTCAATTCTCCTGTTCTGCTGTTTAATAATTTAAACAAATGCATGTCGTAAAATATAACTAATGTGACCTGCTGTTTAAAATTGTTAATGCTTTATTGTTGTGTGGTAATATCACAGCACATGTCTAATCTCCTGAAACTTCTCTCTATGCATTATGTAATGCTTTAATCTTGTGTCTTAAGCATCAATCCCTTCATACATCTGAATATGTGTATATATACGTACTTCTATATATATATACTTTTTAGAAATATTAATATGTTAGTTTTTAATATATTAATATTCTATATTGGAACATTTATATTGTAATGATTGATTAATTATTGTTATTTATAATCAGTACTATTTATTATTAGTAGTATTAATTCTTATATATTATTATAGTATTAAAATTATAATATAAAATGATAAATGCACGCACTTTTTTATTGTACAGTTTGTTTTTTGAATAAATTTATTTAAATATTTACAATAAATGTTTACAATAACACACAAGCATCCTTATGCTATTATTTTTTGTACATATTAAAAATATTAATAAGTTCTTTAAAATATATTATTATTTTTATATTGGTAAAATTATTTTGCATTGATTATTTATTTGTTATTATTAATATTCACAGCAATGTATTATTATTATTATAGAAAAATTGAACCGCCAACCCATCCAGCAAGTTTTTGCGCTGCAGATGCCCTTCCAGCCGCAACCCATCTCTGGGAAATAATAATAATAATAATTATTATTATTATTGCAATACTGTTTAGAAACCCACAGAGCTGAACACATAATTTACTGGAAAACAGGACTAATACAGGTGTGCAGTGTTCTTCTTCTTCTTCTTCTTATTATTATTATTATTATTATTATTATTATTATCATTATTATTATTATTAAATAATACATACATGCATTTTTTAATATATGAAAAGCTGTCATGGTATTTATTAAAACTGAATATTAATGTGAAACAGTTGAGTAAGTGTGGTGTTTTATCAGTGTGTTTGCTGTCGTGTGTGTGTGTTGAGCTCCACGGCACTCCTTAAACAAATATCAAAGTCTGCATCTGTTCAGCGCTGATCCAAGGCCAGCCGCGTTCAGTTTGTTTGCATTAAACTTGGGTAATTCAGAGCAAACAGAAAACACTTCAGCAGAAATCTATGATGTGAGGTTGAGCTGCAGAGAGCCAGACACTAATCATTTTCATCTCATGTTCTGCATCATATCATGTTTTTTTGCATTTAAACTATTATAATTTTAATTCAAATGCAGTTTTATTTGATCATTTACACTTTATTTAAACTTCTTGCCAAATGGTTGCAACAATTTGTTCTGTTCTGAACTCTGATGTCGCCTATAATGTTGTGTGCGTTGCAGTTTTTGATCCAAAACTGTGCTGCTCCTCTGCTAATGAAACCTCCACTCCCTGCTCTTACTGCTGGAGTGAAGATCAGTGAAGCTTGAACACCAGCTGCTTACAATTACCTAAACCTACAAAACTACACTGGCCAATAAACATTTGCATTAAAATATTACAATGCACACAACATTATGTGTGACATATCAGAGTTCATCAGCTCTCGCTGGCACATCTGTGAAGTTTTTGTGATGATCTAGAGCACAGGTGTCAAACTCAGTTCCAAAAGGGCCGCAGCTCTGCACAGTTTAGTTCCAACCCTAATTAAACACACCTGATCAAACTAATTGAGTCCTTCAGGCTTGTTTGAAACCTACAAGTAAGTGTGTTGGAGCAGGGTTGGAACTAAACTGTTCAGGGCTTCGGCCCTCCAGGAATTGAGTTTGACACCCCTGATCTAGAGCAATAGTATCTAGGCTAATGTTAGCAAACCACCAAGAAGAAGACCCACATCCAACAGGATGAACTGTGGACACAAGAGGAAGCTCTCTGAAAGGGACGTCCGGCTACTAACCAAGGTTTATTAAAAAAACATCAGACCACAGCTGCCCGACTCACTGCAGAATGAAATGTGCAGCTCAGCTCTCCTGTTTCCAGCAGAACTGTTGGTCTGGAGCTCCACAGGGTCAGTATACATGGCCAGCTGCTATAGCCAAACTTTTGCTCGCTCATGCCAATGCCAAACATGAGTTTCAGTGGTGCAGCAGTTGAAATCTTGGGCTGTGGACAATGTGAAACATGTAATGATCTCTGATGAGTCACTGTCTTTCCCACATGCGGGAGAGTTACAGTGTGGAGAAGCCCCAGAGGAGAGTCCCATCCAGACTGCTGATGAACAGAGTGAAGCATGGTTTGGACTCAATATCATGACATTTCCTAGCCCCAATACTGGTGCTAAATGGTCACTGGGTCACTGCCAAGGACTACCCTACCATTCTGGAGGACCATGTGACCCAATGGGTCAAACATTGTTTCCTGTAGACAGTGGGGTGTATTAGGAGGATAATGCACCAATTTGCACTGCAAGACAGAGTTGGTTGATGTACATAAAAGTCAAGTTGGACATCTCTCGTGGCCTGCACAGTACCCACAACCAAATATTATTGAGCACTTTAGATGTTTTGGATGAGTGAGTCAGGAAAGGTTGTCCTCCATCAGCATCACATAGTGAACTGAACACTTTTCTGAAGAAGAGCTGCTCCCTCTGGCTGCTGTGCAGGACTTGTGTCTCTCATATATATACAGTTGAAGTCAGATTTATTAGCCCCCGTTTGATTTTTTTTCTTTTTTTAATATTTCCCAAATGATGTTTGACAGAGCAAGGAAATTTTCACAGTATGTCTGATAATATTTTTTCTTCTGGGGTCCGTTCTTCGTACCTCTCTTAAATGATCTGGGATGATTTGGCAGATTCTGGATCTTTTAATCTTGATAACTGATCTCTGCTAATTTGGTTCTTCAATCAAGTTCGCGAATCAGATTAGAATGTCTGGATAAACTGATCTGAGATCGCTGTGTGTGTTGTGAAGAACAGATCTATCGATCCTCGAAATCATGATCAGTAATGCAATGATTGGCTGACGGCACATCAGCGTAATGACATCATCTGATTAATATTCAATTATCCATGTGAGCAAAATTACATCAAATTAGCAGTAGACGGCTTGTTAAATATGACACGCAATAACCTTCCATATTTGTTATGAGCTGAAGGCTTTACACTTTCATGTGTCAAGAGTATTCATCATGTATTTCGATGCAAATCATTTAGTGTATTTAAATGTATTTAGTTCCACATTTAGAAAAGATTTTCTTTTTTATAGTAGCCGTTTTTTAATCGGTGTAAAGAATAACTGTTGTTTACAAAAGCATTTTCATATTGGTAAAGGCGTCTGCAACTTTTATGAAACATCAAGTCACCGACATATTAACTATCAAAACATGTTTATGACTGCATGAATGTATTATTGCTTTAAAAAAGTCACATATTCTGCATTTCTATTATACACAATTTGTACTAAAGTGATCTAAAAAGTTCATATCAATAAGTTTTCTCTTTGCACCAGGTGGCAGTCTTTGTACTTTCATTTCGAGGGTGCAGATTGCATACGTTTTATTAATATGTATAACTAATTTATTTTATTAATGACTATAACTTTATATATATAGTTAAAAAATATGTACCATTTTCCCAAGTGTTTATAACTACTACTGTAAGAAAATATCAGAATTCGGAACATACTTTCTGTATTATCTTTGCTTGAACTGAGCCGATCTAATCCTGTTTATATGAATTGAACCTGCTCCCGATCAGGTTTGACCTAGCAAAACTGTTGCCATGACAACAACTCTTGGATCAGCTTTGAAGAACGAAACGATCCTGGATTGTGTCAAATCGCCAATATCCAAATCCAGCTAACTGAGTAATCCACGTACGAAGAACGAACCCCTGGAGAAAGTCTTATTTGTTTTATTTCGGCTAGAATAAAAGCAGTTTTGAATTTTTTAAAAACTATTTTTGGGACAAAATTATTAGCCCCTTTAAGCTAATTTTTTTTCGATAATGTACAGAACAAACCATTATAGAATGACTTGCCTAATTACCCTAACCTGCCTAGTTCACCTTATTAACCTAGTGAAGCCTTTACATGTCACTTTAAGCTGTATAAAAGTGTCTTGAAAAATATCTAGTAAAATATTATTTACTGTCATCATGACAAAGATAAAATAAATCAGTTATTAGAAAAAACTATTATGCTTAGAAATGTGCTGAACAATCTTCCCTCCATTAAACAGAAATTGGGGAAAAAAATAAACAGGGGCGCTAATAATTCAGGGGAGCTAATAATTCTGACTTCAACTGTAAATATATATATATATATATATATATATATATATATATATATATATATACATATATATATATATTATTCATAAGAAATATTAATAATGTGATTGCAAACATCAAGTGTTTTGCACTATACTGTACTTTGTCCATTTACTATAATATTTTATACTGTACGTCTCATTTTCCCCATTTCAGCACTCTGAACATGTCATTAAGACTTATTATATGGATAATTTTGCGTTCCACATCCTGTTCTTACAGATCATGTTTCTTTCCTGCGATCATTATTTGCATTATTGTCCATTTCTCCTCATTTTCCACTGCATCACTGTGATTGTTTGTGTTTTAATGTCTTTTCTTGGTTTCTTGCTCATCATATTTCCTGTAAATGTTATCTAATCTGATGTAATCATATTATTTTTAACTCAGTGTGTGTGTGTGTGTGTGCTTTAAGAGAATACAGGCCCAAACACAATGTGTCGTTTGTGGACAACGGGACGAAAGTGGCCGCTTACACACCCAAAGTGTTCGTCTTCGTTCCGGAGAAATCAGTGGGAGACCCTAGTGTAGACATGGTGACGACTGTGAACATCCCTGCTGTGGTGAGTCTGTGTGTATGTGTTTGTTTGTTTGTTTGTGTGTGTGACAAGGTTGTTATAGTTAATAAAAACAAACAAAAAAAATATTTTGGCGCAGTAGGTAGTGCTGTCGCCTCAAAGCAAGAAGGTCGCTGTTTCGAGCCTCGGCTGGGTCAGTTGGTGTTTCAGTGTGGAGTTTGCATGTTCTCTCTGCGTTCGCGTGGGTTTCCTCCGGGTGCTCCGGTTTCCCCCACAGTCCAAACACATGTTCTGTAGGTGAATTGGGTAAGCTAGAATTGTCTGTAGTGTATGACTGTAAATGAGTGTGTGTGGATGTTTCCCAGAGATGGGTTCCAGGTGGAAGGGCATTCACTGCGTAAAACATGTGCTGGATAAGTTGATGGTTCATTCCGCTGTGGCGACCCCGAATTAATAAAGGCAATAAACCGATAAAAGAAAATGAATGAAATAAAAATAAAAGCAAGAGTTTTTAAAAAAACTAGAACGAACTGAAACTTTATTGTGTAAATACTAGTGATGCGCAGATGCCGGTTATATCCGCGGGCGCTGCGGATAATCTGGGAGTCGAGTAATAAAAAAATACATTCCGATTAATTTCGGGTCGGTTGCGGGTGGATGTAGCGGGACATGGCAGTAGACCAGTGAAAAAGCAGAGAGTGGGCTTTGCAGAATGGGAAGATATGAGACGCCCAAAATAATAGATGAAGTGCAAGAGTAGCCTAATATTCAAAGTTTCAGTTAGAGGAGTCATCAGAGGAAAACCTGCTGTTACGATAACCAGCGATCATTCACTGGAGATCGCTGGTTTCCTCTATCATCATTCACTTCACTTCCGCATTCCCCAGGACTACATTTTCATACATGCACTTCTCCCAATCACGCACGCCTGGTCACTCATCTTCCTGATTACATCACCAGCTGAAACCTGTTACAGAAGACTCGGCCCTCTTGTGAGCTGGAGGACTGGAGTCGGCCATCTTGTGAGCTGGAGGACTGGAGTCGGCCATCTTGTGAGCTGGAGCAGCCATCTTGCAAGCTGGAGGACTGGAGGTGGCCATCTTGCAAGCTGGAGGACTAGAGGCGGCCATCTTGTGAGCTGGAGTAGCCATCTTGTAAGCTGGAGGACTAGATGCGTGACCAGGCGTGCGTGATTGGGAGAAGTGCATGTATGAAAATGTAGTCCTGGGGAATGCGGAAGTGAAGTGAATGATGATAGAGGAAACCAGCGATCTCCAGTGAATGATCGCTGGTTATCGTAACATATATAGGACAGCAAGACCCGATGGCAAAGGGGCTTGCTGCTCACTCCACCACCACACACCCAGCTCAGAAAATGGCCGCATCTAGTCCTCCAGCTTACAAGATGGCTACTCCAGCTCACAAGATGGCCGCCTCTAGTCCTCCAGCTTGCAAGATGGCCACCTCCAGTCCTCCAGCTTGCAAGATGGCTGCTCCAGCTCACAAGATGGCCGACTCCAGTCCTCCAGCTCACAAGATGGCCGACTCCAGTCCTCCAGCTCACAAGAGGGCCGAGTCTTCTGTAACAGGTTTCAGCTGGTGATGTAATCAGGAAGATGAGTGACCAGGCGTGCGTGATTGGGAGAAGTGCATGTATGAAAATGTAGTCCTGGGGAATGCGGAAGTGAAGTGAATGATGATAGAGGAAACCAGCGATCTCCAGTGAATGATCGCTGGTTATCGTAACACCTGCCATCTGTCACGTTTTAGCGTGATCAAAACAAGAAACAAAAAGGTGCGGATCCAAGTCCAGATATTTATTTACAGTGCAACCAACAAGGTGATAAGAATACAAAGTAACAAATAAACGACAAAACCAGAAACTAAATCAGAGACGAAGCTCAGGAAAAACAAACTCAAACAACTAAACCTAATTAGAAAACAGACTAGACAAATACCACAAGAACTAGACTAATGCAAAACACAAGAGCAGAATCAGAATAACAAACTCGGAATCTAAGACTTACAGGAAACTCGGACAAGGAAGACAACGACGCTATCCCAAACAGTGGTGAAATGGTTGTATAAATAGTCCAGATAATCAACGGTAACACAAAACAGATGTGATGACAGGTCAGTGTAGGTGTTCCGGTGTGTGCGCGGGGCATGTATGTAAATGTAGTTTTTCTGAGACGCTGTAGTGCTGTCTTAGTCCTGATGCACTACAGCGCCCTCAGGTGGTCACTGATGGATGTGACACCATCGTTCTGGGAGAAACAAGATGGCTTATTTCTGCGACTGCAGCGCCTAGCGAGGAGAATCTTGTTCATTCCTACAACACGCAGTGCGAGCGAATGCTCATTCAGTGCAGCTGGCTGAGGCGAGGCGGAATCACCCGAATCCAGGCACAGTAGATGCTGTTCTGTTTTTGCACAGTGCGAAGAAAAAGGCCAAGTAAACACAACATAGCTGCCGTTTAAGCTGAAGTGGCACCCTTTTTGTTATCTTGTTCCTGTATCTGTAAAAGCTAAAATGTCTTATTTTTACTTTCTGTATCTATGTGAAAATTAGGAAAATGTGGTCTAAAGACAAACTTTTGTGTTTATAAATAAACGTTCATTTAAAAATGTTTACGATTAACGTATTATTTTATTATCAGAGATGTGTAGATTAAAGCTTACTGAATCTGCTGTTAATATCCACGGTGACCCCACAGCCAGCGCATCTATAGAGGCAACCCAGGCGGCTGCCTAGGGCTGCAGAATAGAGAGGGCCGCGTCCGCGACACCGCCACTCAGACGTCCTTCGTTTTAGTCTTTGTAAATGTAGTTAATACACACTTTATGTCTTTTAGACATAAATCTATTTAGTTCGCCCTGCATGCGTTTGACCACACAGCACTTCAGAATCTCTAAACCTGCTGCCACTGGCCAGATCAAGCAAGTCCTCCTGCAGTCGCTGTTGCTCCCATAACAAAAACAACGACTGGACATGACAGCAGCACAGTGACAGCATAAAATACGACCCGAGCAGACACTAAAACTATTATTTTAACACATTTGTGCCCAATTATGGGTTTTATTTCAGTATTTTAAGCAGATCTTTAAAGTGAACCGGTTGAACTATTTTACCAAATTGAACTGAATTGTTTGAAATGATTCGCATCTCTAGTAAGCACTAATCTAGAAACTACTTACTTTTAAACATGCCTAAAACCCCCCACTGACTCAAAATAAATCAATATAAATGGAGTTATTCAGGTATTAGAACAGTACTCTGAGATCAGATTTGAGAAGTGGTGAAGCGATAATACTATGCATGCGTGATTCAGTAACCCGAACACAAACAGCACATGACAGCCTGCTGTGACTGAACTAAACTTGAACAACTGCAGGGCGGGTAAACCCAAGGCTTAAATGAGAGGATCTGGTAAAACGAACGTTTATTTCATAACAGAAAATCGTAATGGAGTTTAAATGAATTTAAATAGGTGAATCTTGAGTCTCTGTGCGTCTTTTTGTTTGTGAGTCTGTGTGTGTCTTTGTGTGTGTGTGTGTGAAGTGTTCTTAAAATGTGACCGTTTGAGAGCGCATTGAAAAGTAAGACAGACCCAGTGGAATGTGTTTGGTGTTGATCATTCAGGCATTTAAAAACAGCACTCTGATATCTCCCTGGTGACCGCAGCAGCAGTCTGTGCTTTGATCGTGTTGTTGTAATGTGAAGAGTTAAAGCTGCTTGTGATCCTCATGTTGTGTTTCAGGCTGTGATGAATCGTATTAAAGGTGCAGGGTTCTTGGTCTCCTCTGCTATGTCTTTATACATGAAGTCCATCGGCGCCGAGATGTTCATGACACACACTGTGGACGAGCTGCTGTGGGGCTTCAAAGACCCTCTGCTCACCAAACTGCGCAGCATCAAGCCGGAGACGGATGAATTCTTTGGGCTCATGCTGCATGTGAGTCTCTGCAGGCGCTTCTGTGAAAACACAAAACACACACATATACATACACATTACATACACACACACATATACTACACATAATAGTTTGTTCTGTAGGCCAGTGGTTCTCAAACTGTGGTACGTGTACCACTAGTGGTACGCAGGCTTCCTTCTAGTGGTACGCAGAGGAATCGCTGAATAATTAAAGTAAATAAATTAACACACTTTTAACCCTTTAACATGTACGCTAACACCAATCAGTAAATTGATTTTAATAGGTTAAACCTTTTATTTTGGTTTTAGTTTTCTGATGTATTCCATCATTTGAAGCGGTTGTTGGAGGCATATCCTGTATTTATATATCCCAATGTTGACAGATATAGCTAAATCACTTGCTTTTCAGAAACACAAAGCCTACTCTAACTCACAGTAAGCAGATCTAATTGCTAATTTAAATATGTAAATCCAATTCGTGTATTTAAAATACACGTTAATGTTTAGAATTCAAAGATATGCAAATAAGTCATATCTACATGCAACTTATATTTCAAAATGTATGAAAAAGAGTGTATATATGAATATGATGACATATAGCCTATGTTTATGAAGTCCAAGGAACATTTCCAGGTTTTGATGAATCGGTTACTTCATGATAATACTTTACATTTAAGTACAGCAGTTTTCTTTTTAATTGTTAAGAACAGAGCCGTTTTTAATAAACTTTTAAAAGCACATATTAATTTACACGTTGACATTTTATTTATTTTTACCTGTCAGCACAGTACAGTGGTAATGTTCAAACTATTTATAATGGTTAAAGTGGCTGACAATAATAAATATTCATAATAATAAGAATTATTAATTAATCTGCCTTGTTTTTGAACTGTGCAGAGCTTTAGCTGCTTAATTAGGCCTACTACGCAACAGTATTTCAATACCGGTCATGATGGTGGTACTTGCAAAGACAGTTTTTTTCTGAGGTGGTACTTGGTGAAAAAAGTTTGAGAACCACTGATGTAGACTATTGAAAAAAATGCTCAAAGAGCTAATAATATTGACCTTAAAATGGCTTTTTAAAAATTTTAAAAAAGCTTTTATTCTAGCTGAAATAAAACAAATAAGACTTTCTTTAGAAGAAAAAATATTATCAGATATACTGGGAACATTTCCTCGCTCTTTTAAACATTATTTGGAAAGTATTTAAAAAAGAAAAAAAATCAAAGGGTGGGCTAATTATTTTGACTTCCACTGTATGTATATATATATATATATATATATATATATATATATATATATATATATATATATATACATATATATATATATATTACTATTTTTGTTTAAATGATTTCTTTTGAATTGGTTATAACATTTAAATATTTTGTCCTTATTTCATAATAAATAAGCAAATATTTAAATTCTTACATTTCCACATGTTCTCACACAGGTTATCTTAAATGATTTTTTGTTAGGCTTATGATTATGGTGCTTATTGTGAGGAAATAATGATAAAATGCTAACAAATATTCTATAGTACTTGCTCAGGGCTTTACATCAACACCCGCCAACCCGCCAAATGCGGGTAGATTTCAGCTTTGGCGGGTTAGACAGCCACTCCCACTAGCCACTTTGGCTGGTTGGAAATAATTTCGTTTTCTCAAAGCAGGGTTCGACAATATAAGGATGACACCCAATATGCGAGCAAATGTGATCACGCGAGCAGAAGAAAGCACATGAATACCAAATGAGAGGATGATGATCACTCGCGCTAACTTCTTAAAACGCATGCGCGCGATTGCTTAACGCGTACACGCTCCCGAATCGTAAAGCAACCCTGTCTGGAACAGGTTCTGAAAACGCAACTGTCGGTTCTCTTTCAAATAAACTACACAAATAGTGACGAACATGCACCCACAGTCCTGATACTTTTAAAAGCTCAAAATGTGTCTTTTTGTTAGCAGCACCGGTTGCTTTCACTTTGAACAGATTATTAAATGGCCTAAAGTTAACCGTGTGCATGTGATCATTCTTTCATTATCACACACGGTATGTTTCACCTGCTTTCATTTGCTTACAGTTTTATTTGCTTTTATTTTTGTTAAAATGGTTTAATTATTTTTTTTTTACAACATTGCTTTAATGGGAGATGAACTCTCCATTTATGTGCTGTTAACTGCTGATGCGAGAGATCTTTAGCCACAACAGATAATGTGCATTTTTTTGATACATGACAATAGTTATTTTTTAAAAGTCACTTGCTTTTCTTTCTTTTTTAAGAAATGTTTTGTTAAATAAAAAGTATAGCATAGAACATTTTTCTAGTTTTGACACATAAAAAATGTGTGGCTAAGAAATAATTATTGTTTCGTGTGGTTACAGAGATAAATTTGGTAAATTGTTAATTTTGAGTTCTAAAAAAGTCATGTGAAATAAAAACTAATTGCAATATAACACTATGAAACCATGACCTATTTGCTCATGCTCATTGAGCAAGCTCAAACTCGACACAAAAAGTGACATGAATGAGGACGCATGTAGACATAACACAAAATTTAAATCAAGTAATTTTAGCATGTCAACGTCAAATTAATGCATATAAAATATATTATCCCAACGACAAAATTGTGGCTAGTGAAAATGCAGAGTGGCTAGTAACATTGGAAAACTACTAGCCTAAGTGGCCGGTGATTAAAAAAGTTAACGTAAAGCCCTGTACTTGCTAAACAAATGTATTTTATTATGTATAAATGTGTATATGGTCTATTGTTGTTTTGCAGAAAAACGGCAGTGATGACGGTGAGTTTGTGTATCACACCGGAGAACACAACTATCTGGACTACGGCCGCATTTTCACTTGGAAGGGAGAGAAGTAAAGACAGCATCATACTGAATATCATGTTTTATGAAGCTCCACAGCAGAGCATTTCTTTTTGGAGCTGGAAAATCCTGATTTGGTGCGGTTTGTGTTTCAGGTTGATGTCGTTCTGGAAAACCAATCAGAGTAACATGATCAACGGCACCGACGGCAGCGCATTTCATCCGTTCCTGACCAAAGAGGAGCGATTGGATGTGTTTACCGCTGACCTCTGCAGGTAAACCCATCACATCACGCAAAACACACTTTAGTTAGCTCAGGAGCATTCAAATATGTGGCACAGCCTATATTTGACGAAACAAAATATGTGCTCCAAGTATGTTCGATTGTACGTTTCAGATGATAAATTCACTAAAGGGCGCTGTTTACGCTTTAGTGAATCTGAAATATATTACTTAGGAAATGTTTTGTTGCATGTTTCCGATGTGGGCGAGGCAGTGGCGCAGTAGGTAGTGCTGTCGCCTCACAGCAAGAAGGTCGCTGGTTCGAACCTCGGCTCAGTTAGCGTTTCTGTGTGGAGTTTGCATGTTCTCCCTGCCTTCGCGTGGGTTTCCTCCGGGTGCTCCAGTTTCCCCCACAGTCCAAAGACATGCGTTACAGGTGAATTGGGTAGGCTAAATTGTCCGTAGTGTATGAGAGTGTGTGTGAATGTGTGTATGCATGTTTCCCAGAGATGGGTTGCGGCTGGAAGGGCATCAGCTGCGTTAAAACTTGCTGGATAAGTTGGCGGTTCATTCCGCTATGGCGACCCCGGATTAATAAAGGGACTAAGCCGACAAGAAAATGAATGAATGAATGTTTCCGATGTCAAATCCACTAAACGGTGCTCTCTATATTATTGTGAATCTGAAATATGGTTTTTAGGGTACTTTTTATTGCATGTTTCAGATGACAAATTTACCAGAGGGCGATGTCTATAGTTTTTTTCAAATCTGAAATACGCTACTTAGGGTATGTTTTGTTATATGTTTAATGTGACATATCCACTTGAGGGCGCTGTCTGTTTTTATAAAGCTGAAATTATTATTTAGGGTTCGTTTCGTTTCATGTTTCAAATGACGATTCCACTTGAGGGTGCTGTCTACACTTTTTCGCGAATATGAAATACGTTACTTGGGATATGCTTTGTTGGGTTTCAGATGGTAAATGCACTAGATGCCGCTGTCTGTATTTTCTTGAAGCCGTAATATATTATTTAGCATACATTTTGTTAATTTTAAGACATTTTTTAAGCTGAAACTAATATTTAGGATACGTTTCGTTACAGATGACAAATCCACTAGAGAGCGCTGTTTCTATTTTTGCAAGTCTGAAATACGTTACTTAAGGTACGATTAGTTATATGTTTGATGTGACAAATCCCCAAGAGGGTGCTGTCTGTTTTTTAAAGCTGAAATTATTATTTAGGGTACGTTTCGTTTCATTTTTCAAATGGCAAATTCACTAGAGGGCGCTGTTTACATTTTTGCCAAATTGAAATACGCTACTTAGGGTAATTTTTGTTATATGTTTAATGTGACAAATCCACTAGAGGGGACTGTCTGTTTTTTTAAGCTGAAATTATTAATTAGGGGACATTTTGTTGCGTGTTTCAGATGACAAATTCACTGGAGAAAACTGTTTCCATTTTAGCGAGTCTGAAATATGTTACTTAGGGTACGTTGAGTTATGTGTTGCATGTGACAAATCCACTAGAGGGTGCTGTATGTTTTTATAAAGCTGAAATTATTATTTAGGGTACATTTCGTTTTATGTTTCAAATGACAATTCCAATAGAGGGCGCTGTCTACACTTTTTTGCGAATATGAAATACGTTACTTGGGATATGCTGTGTTGCGTTTCAGATAGCAAATGCTCTAGATGCCTCTGTCTGTATTTTTTGAAGCCGTAATGTATTATTTATCATACTTTTAGTTAATTTTAAGACATTTTTTAAGCTGAAACTAATATTTAGGATACGTTTCGTTACGTTACAGTTAGGGTTGTAACAATATACCGGTATGACGGTTTACCACGATTTGAACGTGCACGATTATCATACCATGAACAATTGCATATCAACGGTTTTAACCCTTAAAGACCGAGACAGCCGCCCGCGGCTAAAAATAAGTATTGCTCTTAAATGTTTAATAACTTTTGATCCGCTGATCCGATTCATACAATTCAAAGATTGGCATAAAGAAGAGAATCTCAGCTTTCCAGTGCTGCATCACATAACATTCGCGGACTTTCAGAGGCTCCGGAATCAGTGCGGTTACGTCATCAACATTTGACAACGCTGATTTGACAAAGAAACGCTCGTCACTGTGTCTCCGGACAAACCAGACATGATACATTGATGCATTGTCCCTCCTCCATGCCCAGATTGGTTCAAACTCGCTATATCACAACCAATAAGCATAGGTTTCGCTTTTGTTTGTGGACCAAGCTTTTTGAACAACACGGAATGAGAGATAGGCATACATTTATGCGCGGCTAAATAAAACGCAAAAAAAAAAGTTTGGCATGAAATAATTCTCATACTAAGTACTTTTGCATGCACAGCAGCACAGAAACATGACAAAACAGTGACACAGCAAAGACGAACTGCTGCTCTTGCTGTTTTTAAAAGACGCAAATGAAGATGCAGCTGTTTGTCTGCATTGCAGACAACCACATCCAAATCCATATTCACAGACAACCATATCCATGCTGGCACATAAAACCTGAGGATGTTCCATATTGAATCTAGTTTCGTTATGTAACTATTTATAGTATAGTAAATATTTATATCTATTTTTTACTGAGGATTTGCACCATGTTTTTTTGGACTTTATTTGGACTTTGACACATTATTTATTATTTTCTTATTTTTATTTGTTCATTGTAAGTGGTGTTGTTTATAGTAACTAAAAATATATTATTTGGAAAAAGTCAAATTTGCTTCACTGTTCTATTATTTTGTAACATTTGTAACATACCGTATACCGCGAAACCGTCAAACCGTGGTATTGTTTTAGACGATTATCATACCGTGAAAAATTCATACCGTTACAACCCTAGTTACAGTTGACAAATACACTAGAGAACGCTGTTTCCATTTTTGCGAGTCTGAAATACGTTACTTAGGGTACTGTCTGTTTTTATAAAGCTGAAATTATTATATAGGGTACGTTTCGTTGCATGTTTCAAATGACAAATCCACTAGAGGGTGCTGTTTACACTTTTGCTAATTGAAATACATTACTTCGCATGTGCTTTGTTACGTTTCAGATGACAAATGCACTAGAGCAGGGGTGGCCAGTGCACTAGAGAGCGCTGTCTACTTTTATTTGCAAATCTGAAATACGTTATTTAGGTTACTTTTTGTGACAAATCTACTATAGGGTGCTGTCTAAAATGTAGCGAGTCTGAAACGTTACAATGGATACATTATAGTATGCAAATATTTATATGTAGAAATTTTAAATAAATACTTAATGAATTTTAAAAGCCTAATGATTACAGGCCCAAATAAAAATAATCATAAAAAAGCAAAATTATAATATTTGTTCAGTTGTGCAGCTTTGTCTTTATAAAGTTATTCTCATTTCTGTCTAAACTATAAGATTATAATCATCCAAATGATGAAAAATATTACTGTAAACTATGTATTATAGTAAACAATAGCGCATAATATGAAATTATAGTCCATATTTTATATATCATCATATATATGCCATATAATGCTCAGAATGTCCAGTTTTTAACGTTTGTTCATGTATTACTGGAGAATACAACATCACTTTCAGAGAAATCATGCCAGATTGTTGCAGTTGCCTATTTGCAGACTAAACTTAATGCAATAAAGCATTGGTTTATGGTGTTTGCTCATCTGTGGCGACATCAGTTTTGTGGTAACTCTAATTTGTCAAAGCGTCTATATTTCATAAATGTCTGACCTCAGAACAGCATAACCTTTCAGAGTCAAAGGCAGTTCAGAACTCAGTCTACTGTTCAGGGTTGCCAGATTTTCAAAATAATATTAGCTCAATGGTCAGTCAAAACTAGGCCAAAGATTTCTAACTTAAAATACGCCACCACGGATTTGTATAATACATGTTTTATACCAATTTTTACATTATACACAGTTTCTAATTAGTAATTATCAATATACTGTTATCATAAAAAAATCTTCTCACCATACAATAAAATGCTGAACAATGTTTTGGCAAGGTTATAAGGTTGTTCTTCCAGTGCAGATATGTCAATTTTGTAAATATGTAAAACAAAACATATCCTAAGTAATGTGTTTGGAATATACAAAAATGTTGATAGCATCCTCTAGTGCAGGGGTTCTCAACTGGTTTGGCCATGGGACCCACATTTTTACATGGTCATCAAGCCGCGACCCAAATTTTTAGGAACTATAAAACAATTTTAGGAATTATACTTAATTTGTATTAATTAACATAAACAAGCACTGATACATCATAAGCAATTTACCAAGACTTACAAATAAACACTATTTTATTGCTGTCAATTAACAAAATAGATAAAATTATAGAAATATTACAAAGTAAAAACGACAAATATTGTTAATAATAAACTCTTAATAAAACATGTTTTCTGGTTTCTAAATGTTGTTTTAACATAGAAGGTTTCATGCTCTCTTCTGAGAGCACCTCACTACATATGACACACTGAGGCTTTAAGTCTTTTTTGTCGTCAATATATATATATATATATCCATACTTAACATATTTGGGGTCGTACTTGCGCTTCGACATATTTGTTGCAATAATTAAATGAAATTTCACTTGTCAAACGGTAGGGTTGTCGCGCATGCATTTCAAAATAAAAGTCCGGTATAAGCAAAATAAGTAAAACATTTAACTTTTGTTGTTGTTTTTTGACCACACACTCCGCGACCCTCTGAAAATGTTCCCGCGACCCAGTTTTGGGTCACGACCCATCAGTTGAGAAACACTGCTCTAGTGAATTTAGTGCAATAATACATAAAGTAACATATTTCAGATTTGCAAACATCTAGACTAGGGCTGCAACTAACGATTATTTTAATAATCGATTAATCTGTTCATCATTTTTTTGATCAATCGGATAATAAAAAAAACATTAATTTCCAACCTTTTATTTAAAAAAGCTCATCCCTGAGCTTTTATAATAATAATAATAATAATAATAATAATAATATAATAATAATAATATAATAATAAATAATACAATAAAAAACGTAGT